AGTGTAAAAATTTTCTGTTATTTTCTACAATTTTTCTATTTATTGTTTTTTAAAATTCTCTTTCTTACCTTTGGATAGCTTTCTGCGCAAAAGCTTCATATTTTTATTCTTTTCTATAGCTTGTCTTATACTTTCTGTATTGATTTTTTTACGTATTTGTTGATTTATTTAGATATTCTTTTGTTCAGCTGTTCTAGGTTTTCAGAGGTTCTGTCTTTCTGTTTTTATTTTTCTCTTTGTAAAGATATCATATTTTTCGTATTTTGGGTGAACTGTTGATTTTTTTTTGCAGTGTTGTTTTCCACTTCTTTGATGGTTTCAATTATTTTATCATTTATATTTTCAATATCAAGTGTGTTATATAAAGTTATTTCTTCCAAAGCAATTGTAGCGGAATCTACGTAGTTGGATTTATTGTTGGGGGAGGGAAGTCAATTTAGTATTTTTGTTTATACTTCTTTTTTAATGGAAATAATAAAGTCTATTTTGTTTTTTGTTTATCCGTGGTGGCTTATTCAAGGCCATCCACTGTGTTTTTTGTTCTGAACAAAACTGTTCATTAGGTATAATCGATGTTGTGGGGGAAAGTTAGACTACTGCCTTTATCGTTTCTGGTTCCTATTAGAAAGGTGCCGATTATTTTCTCAACATCATCCAGTCGTTTTGAGACTTTGAAGTTAGTCTGGTATGATAAAAGTTTTACTGTATCCAGTAACTGCAAGGGCAAAATTTCTTCTTCGCCGGCTGCAGATAATGGTGCATAAACTTAGATAATTTTCATTTTTTAAGTTAGTATTTTGGCGAATTATTAAGTAAACTGCGCGCTTGGAGCCACTTTCTATGCTTATGAAGATTATGAAGGTTAAAGTAAGTTTTTTGAAGTTTCAATTTCCATTTCGGAAATCATTCTCCTTCAAAACAATATAATAAATGGAGCGTGTTCCTACTTATTAAGAAGTCAATACCACCTATGGAGTTGTCCATTTCACGTAGATATATGATAGAGAGTATATCCTGAGTTGAAAGTAATCCATTATTTACTTCGTTTTCTGATTTTGCTTATTGCCAGAGCATTACGGAATTACGTTTTTCTAATACTCTGTTTTTTAACCTGGAGGAGTAAACCAAAAAGACAGATTCACACCCAAGAAGGTTACTAGAAAAGCCACAGATTTTCACAGAAATTTGTCTTTTAATTTGCAAATAGATCTTATATACAAAAAAGCTATGCAAATGCATGTATTAAAAAGTTCAAAGATTTCTGAAATACTGCTCTTTTAAACTGCGTAGACCATATTTTTATTCTAATGTGATTAATTTCTTGAATATAAGTTTTTTTCTTACCAGAAGAATTAACTTTGACTTTGATCATTATTTTTAAGCTTAATAATCCAATCTCTTGAATTGCTTCAACCAATTTGTTTTACATACTCCTTCCCGTTCATGCTTCAGAATTTACTTTTTCATGTTTCCCATCACAAAATAAATTATGGTTCAAATATAGGTGTGGTCCTATTTTTCATACATGGTAATCAGTTACCTCATTAGATGTATTTGTTTAACTTATGTATCAATATCTTTAGGTTCTATTTGAAGCACTATAATGCAAAAATATACATTGTATCAATAAGTGTGTACTTGCAATTTCTTTAATGCTAGATTCTTGTTTTGGATTCTTGATTTTGTCCAATTTGTTATCAATAAATAAAATTTACTAAAAAAAAACTGGATTTCTCTGAGATAATTAACAAATTCAATCTATTATGTTACATTCTAGCATAATTTTGCAGTTTTCTTGTAATGATCTACAACCAGGAAGAACAAAACCAACTGTATCAATACAATCAAACTAAAGCACAGCATTACTTTACTAATATTCTTTTATTGTGATGAAAACAAAATGAAAATGCTTCTTAACAAGTGTACACTACATTTAAAAGATAGTTGTCGTTTTCCTTATGATAATTAGATATAAATAACATACATTTATAAATTTATAAACACTTTAAACAATATTTAATATACATATCATCTAGAAAAATATCACATTAAATAATATTCGCATATCACCAAGTCCAAGTTATTACAAAGAACTTAAAGAGACAGAAATCAATTTATATATTAGAAGAAAATAATATTCTTTGCATAATATATATATATATATATATATATATATATATATATATATATATATATATATATATATATATATATATATATTCGGGATGTATGTAAAAATAAAAATTTAATAATTTTATTAATCTTCCAAAATATCGCCTCCATTTATTCTATGTCTTGGTTAGATTTATGAACAACTATACCATTTTGAATATCTTGATTTAATTTTTCAGCAAAACTGAATATATTTCAAATATTTGAGCAAGAAAGATTTGTTTTTGGTCAGTAGCCCAATGTATAAACCCATCTTTGAATAATTTCACCTAAAAAATAACTATGGTAAGACATTCATAATATAGATAATAAATCAATCATTCTATAAATAGTAAGATAAACAATATATAGTTATGCTATGTAATATTTGCTGCAATGAATCTGCTTATATGTAAAGTAAAAAATATTCTTTTTTTTCTTTTCTTCCCTTTTCATGTTCTTATATTTGTTGAACCAAAATACTTGACAATATTCCAGTAGAGTATACAATTAAAAAATTTATTTTTTTTAATAACTTGCTTTATGAGATCATTACTTAGTATACTCATCATCAAACATACTAAGTATAATATCTTTAAATGAGAACAGTGAAATGTAGGTACATACTACTTAAAATGAAAATATTTGTACACTGGTATGTTTCCAAAAATATCTAATTGAAAGGCTGTTGTACTTATTACAGGAAAAATATTTTGATCAAACAAGAAGGGTACTATTACAATCATTTTTCATATAGCTCATAACTTTTAATTACAAAAACCATTTAGTAGTAACACTGCTAGCACATAGCAGTATACCGGATTAGAAGAATGAAACTTATAAAATATTTTAGATAATTTTACTATATAGGTGTGGCTGACCCATATTTACAAACCCATATTTCAAATACTTACTTCAAATGTATTTGCTTCAAGAACTTATATAATAATGAACATATTTTGGAAGATCTGAGCGGTTGTTAATTTCACTTAAAATTTTACTTAAAGTGGGCATTCCATTCTTGAAAAAGAAGTTGTGACTGTCGTACAAATGTTTTAAGTCTTTCATCGTATGTTGCAAGAATAAAAGGTCGACCGTCAATATTTTTAGGACATCTTACTATTCAAGTCTGCTTATATTCTTTAATTGTTCGGTAAATAGTTGAATTTGCAACACCTAAAATTAGCACATTACTTAAGTAAGTTTTGATTTTAATAATAACTATTCTGCAAAACTAAATTGCTGCCTGTTTTACTTTTGCTACCGTGGCTGTTATTTTCATTCCAGAATTATCAATTTTCATTTTTTTTATACATGTTTATAATACATTGTTTCTTATTTGACGATAAATGACCCAAATCTACTCGGAGTTTTTAAGGTGGAGAAGAATACTTACCACTAGTATTTGGCATTGAATCCATATTGTTATCTTAATAACACTAAATAGTTCTGAAAAGTACAGTTTTTTATATAAATGCAAACGAAAAATCTATGAATGTAAGGAATAACGATGAAAATACAAAAAATCGTCGATATAAATTTTTAATTTTAAAATTTCACAAATGTCATTAGTGTCAATATGTCATAATTTAGTGGAGTAAACTTGCCTGCGGTTGAACCAATTACAAACAAGCATTATGGCGCGGAAAATTTGAATTACTCCTCCTGGTTAAAAAACAGACCATAGTAATTCCTTCCCCGTCTATAGGCTACTAACGTTGATATATTTTTTTTCTAGAATATTTTCGTTTCTGTATTGGTCTGTATTTTACGCGCTTGTCTCCTCCAGAATCCGTGAGACAGACTGACACGTTATCAGTGTAAGATTCATATCGCCCTATGCACCTGGGGTAATTTCATTTTAATTTGTGACATATCATACTTAGTTAGGGAGGTTACTTACGACTGCTTAGATGAGATCAAACATTTTGTAAAAAAATTTTAATAGATCATACTTTTAGATTCTGAATGGAGGATGATACATGTGCTGGTTACGATAGGGGCTCTAGGTTTTTTAGTTTTTATATTTTCTGTTATTAAAACAGCAGAGATAAAAACACTTAGAAAAATTGATGGTAAGATACTATGGGACAGAGCTAGAATTAAAGATGCAAGGTGGAGAATATCAAGAAATGGGTAATAAGTAGAATAGTATAATGAAACGATCATAGAAGCCGAATCACAACAAATAGAGTAGTAAAGACGGCAAGAGACGGTTCCCTAATAGGAAGACGATCAGTAAGAAGACTACGAAAACGATGGATCGACAACTTACTGGAGGCACACTAAAAAACAGACAGAATCATGTCTACATAGAAAGAAGAAGAAGAACATTAAATATATGAGTAATTAATTAATATTAAGTGTTTCGTTTTCGAATGATATTTGTATTTATTGAAAAATTAGATTTTAATCCATAAACAACAGTTTCTAGTAAAGTAGCTTTTCACTGAGATTTGGACTTAAACATCTTCTATGCGTACATTCTTAAACTTATATTGATAAGGTAGACGGACAAGAATAACATAACTTGCATACTTGCATTAGTTTAAAATAAGTGGCTTATGATTTCCATCAGTATCTAAAAATGTGAATAGTAATTTACGCAATAAAGTGGTAATTTTTTTTTTTTTTTTCATAATTGGAAAGATTGACCTCATGAACCGTTAAGCGACTGCGGAAACTCCATAAGTGAAAAAAAAACACTTTATGTATGTGTTGCACGCAATATTTTTTCTACAGCACTATACAAATAATAAAATCAAAATCTATATTTATCACATTGTAATTTAGCATCTTCATATATTTGTTTTTTAATATATTGTATTAATTATTTAAAATTATTTCAGCAAAGTCAGCGACGATTCGTCTTCTAATGAACTGCAGCTAAGGAATTATAAACAAGAAATAAATCTTCTGCAACAAGATTTGGATAATGAAAGACGTTTGAAAGAAGCCGTTATTCAAGAAAATAGGTAATAAAATAAAAAGTTGGCACTTACAGGGGTTTCAATAATATGTGTAAATACTTTTACTGTACAATTTTGATGTGAAAAATGAATGAAAAAGAAGTGATTTTTACCAGTGCTCATTTGAAAGGCTTTTTTAAGTAAGTACTTTCGAAAAGATGTCTTTTTCCAACAATTTTAAACTTTCAAGTTATTTAAGGTTGAAGGTTTTAAGTGTCAGGTTTATTAAGAAATAACTGTCCTTCAACAAGTTCCTCATAGAGTTTACGGAAGTCATTAAAAAAACAATGTTTTTGTTTGTATCAGCTAAATTTTTGTTCTCAATATTTTTTTCGATGAAAAGAAAACGTTATTCGTGCAAAACGGTTAAAAAACATTCGTTTTTTCAATGAAAACCCTAAATATGAAAAAATATGAAAAAAAAGCAGGTTCAATAGTGAATAATTTGGAAAATATCAAAAAAAAAATCATAGAACAAAAATTTCTTAGAATTGGTCAATCTATCATCTTCTATGTTTATTTTGATTTAGAAAATGTTCACCTCCTAGAAGGGGTACATTTCAAGAATATCGTCGTAAAGTAACAAAATTCCATATATAATCATAATCGCTCCGATTTTGATTCAATGAAAATTGGTAGATAGGTAGCCACTTCAGCACACTTTGACCTTGGACAAAACATGACATTTATGTTACTTATGTCAAATTTCATATAAATGTCACGTTTGCTATGTCACCTAAATGTCACGTATTATGTCAAACGTCAAATGTCACGTTTTATGTCAAAAGTCAAAGTGTCCTAAAGTGGCTACCTATTTACAAAAAATATATCCAACTATCTACCGATTTTATATACTCTATTCACTTTTAACTGTTGAACTCAGTTACAACTATCTATACTCTGTTTTTTAACCAGGAGGAGTAAACCAAAAAGACAGATTCACACTCAAGAAAGTTACTAGAACCAAATCTGAAGTCACCAAATACATCTTTTTTTGTTGATTATCTCGGCCTTGCGGTAATCGCGTAATCAATATTGGATAATCTCACACGTCAACTTTAACCTAACTTTATTTATGTTTGAATAATAAAATATTTTTTTCAATTCACTTCCAATATATATTACAATAAAAAAAGGACGTTTTTCACATTTGGTCCCATATATATATATATATATATATATATATATATATATATATATATATATATATATATATATAATATATATATATATATATATTATATTATATGAGGTTGATCAACTGCTTAATATTCCCAATACTGACCTACGGATGTGAATCTTGGACTCTGAGACAATCGGAGAGAAGAAAGATAGACGCCACTGAAATGTTCTGTTGGAGACGAATGTTACGAATTCCTTGGACCGACCGTAGAACAAATAATTCAATTTTAAGAGAGCTAAAAGTTAGCCAACGACTCTCTAGTAAAGTCCATCTCCAACAATTAAAATATTTTGGGCATGTTATGAGAGCAAACACAGAAAACATGGAAAGACTCATAATACAAGGAAAGGTAGAAGGCCGAAGATCATGAGGAAGATCCCCAACAAGATGGATAGATCAAATTACAGGAATATGCCAAAGACCTATGCATGAATTAAAAGAAATGACCAGAGACAGAGATCTCTGGAGACGGACAATACACGACATCACGTCGACCACTACACTCCCCCTGGGGGGTCAGGATTGAAGAGAGAGATATATATTTAAATATCGGGTGATCCAGTTTTATAGATCTCTTTAAAGTATATGGTGTTAAATTATAATTTAGAGAATATTTTGATCGGGAGAGTCAATAATGTTTCAGATCTAAGTATGGTTTTTCTCAGAAATCTGTCTTTTAATAGTAGACCATATTCTTATTTTGGTCTGATCAATTTCTTGAATCTAGTTTTTTTCTTACCAGATACTTTGTATAAATAAGGGTTTACTTACAATTTCTTTAATGCTGGATTCTTGTTTAATTTTGACAATGAGTTTGTCCCATTTGTTATCAACAACTAAAATTTACTAAAAAATGCTGGATTTCTGTGAGATAATCAACAAATCCAATCTATTATGTTACATTACTTTACTAATGGTCTTTTATTGTGATGAAAACAAAATGGAAATGCTTCTTAACAAGTATACACTAAATTTAAAAGATAGTTGCCGTTTTTCTTATGATAATTACTTTTAAGTTTTTCTTTACTTTTTCTTATGATAACTTTTATCTCGAGTATATCGTGTACCACATACAAACATTTAAATTAAAACAAACATTTCTCGGGAGCTAAGTTTAGAAAATCTTAGCAAAGTAGGTATAATTAAATCAAACTAGTGGATAAATTGGAATAGGAAATACCTATTTTTGGAATGGATTTTACCAAAATTTGCGGAACTAAATAATTTTTTTCTAAAGCTGTAAAGTAGTTATTGCAAATTTGCACAGTAAAATTATCACAAAGTATAAAGATCTATTGCTTGCTTACATAGAGCCACGATGTGTGAGACAAACTAATATTGAAACAGTTGATCCTCAATATATTACAAAATTCATCATCATCATCATCATTATGGCTTTACAAAACTGCGTGGATGATATCCTCCTCAAAAATTTCTCTCCAAACGTCCCCATCCATCGCCTTCCTCCTCCAAGTACGTATGTGATTCGTATATATATATATATATATATATATATATAATATATATATATTATATATATATATATATATTTCGTATATATTTCTCATGTCTTCATCGATGTTATCAAGGAACCTTGTTGTTTATTATAAATACTTTTGTAGCTGATTCTTGTACATACGCCTCTCGTACAGCGTTTTCCCTTCTCACAAAAATATTGATATCATCGGCATAGGCAAGGATTTGCACTTATTTATTATATATTGAAGCAATGGTTGTGATTTGTGACATACGTATTACTTCTTCGAGAGCCAGATTGAACAATATACAAGAGAGATGGTCTCTCTGGCGCAGCCCTTTATTTGTTTTAAAATTCCCCTCAATTCGTACTCTATATTCAACTTTTTCAAGAGTTAGTTTTGTGAAATTTACCAACTGATTTGGTATTTCTAGCTCTTTCATTGCTTCTAACATTTCTCTTCGATTCACAGCGTCGTAGGCTTCTTTGTAGTTTATAAATATGTGACGAGTATGTATGCCATGTTCCACTGTTTTTTTTTCTAAAATTTTTTACAGGGTTGCAATCTGATGAATTGTCGATTTACCACCTCTGAAACCTGTCAATTTCCACTCCGGAAATCCGAAGTGGAAATTGAAACGTCAATAAACTTACTTTAACCTTTAATTGTGGCTTATTCCCATTTAAATAGTAATTTCTTTTTATAGTTCAGCTGACAGATTACCTATTCCGGGTGATTTGTTTCTGGCTACTTTTTTAACTGCATCTTTAACTTCACAAATCGTTGGTGGTTCCTCTTCCCTCTCGTCTGTTTCCTTATCTCTTCCGTCTTCAAGATTTTCTTCTTCTTCCTTTGTAGTAAGTGCCTATTTAAAGTATTCCACCCATCTATTCAATACATCTTGACCTTGTTGGTAATAGGTCACCATTCTGACTTCTGCATTATCTTGTAATTGCCTTAAATTATTTTCTGTTAAACTTTCTTATAGAATGCTCTGAATTCTTTCTTTCTGTTGAGGTTTTCTCTCCTTCCGGCTCGAGGAGATAAGAATGCGGCCGGGGCCAGAAGACCCTGCCTGTCGTAAGAGGCGACTAATGGGCGGATATGAGAGATGGAGGGCCGTCGTTTAAGGTGTCGGGTTGGTAGAAACGCACAGAGATGCCTAGTCACCTCAGTCACCGGTCTACATTCCTAGTATCCGAGACGAGCGCCTTGTGGGACCACTACTCTCATTTTCCACAAGAGCCGGGTGTGGTTGAACGAGCCAGGTACGGAGGCTCCCTCGGAAGCTGACACCGCGTTAGAGGGAGCGGGTGACCCGGCACGTACCACACCTCGGAATGATCTAAGAGTGGTAGAGGAGCGATTCCTCGGTGGCGACCTGTCTACGTGCGAGATGGTATTCCACCACCTGCGTGCCTTTCCGACTCCGGGGGGAGGATTCACGGAAGGGTGGCGTGGCCCGCAACACAGGTACTACGGGGGAGGTGGAGCCAAACGATGTTTCGGCATCGTGCCACCTCCAATTGGTGTCGGACTCGTAGGGGCAGTGGGAGTGCTAATGGTCGTATGCCGAAAGGCCAGGTAGACCGGGGTCCTGTCAATTAATTTTGGAGGGCACAAAGCAATGCAATGTTGAGGTTTTCTATATACCTATATATAAGTTCTTTAAGTGGTTTAACACTAATATCAAAATTGCCACGAATTTGTAATCCGCAAGACCTACAAACGATGCAAAAGAACGATAATTAATGTAAGAAACTTCAACAATACCAGGGTATTCCAATAGAATTATGTTTAACGGTGGGTCAAATAAAACATTTTGACGCTAATCCTCTATTTGCTAATTTGAGTAACTTTATATTGCCTACGTTAACTTTATCATACGATAATTTAAACAACAGCATACGATTTCTAACTTCAATGATCTGGCAAGGCTACTAGGCCATCAAATTGGTCAGGATTTTTTTGGTGGCCCGACCTATTAATACGGCTATATCGTTTTAAATATGTCTCAATTCCACCTGTTAAAAACACATACCTACCTGAAATTATTTCCGATACGGTATATTACTAAAACCTAATAATATTAGGAACAACATGAGTACTAAAACAAATAAATAGTTGAACTTGTATAGTTATATTGACATATATGAAATAGAAAATGGAAGTTACTGAAATATGAAAATGCTATATGAAAAGCTGTGGTGTATCGCAGTGAAAAAAATATAAGAACACTGCATGTCATAAAAAAAGTGGATATATATGTAGAATGAGAAGTAATAAAATGAAAATAATAAATAAGCGGTTATCTGTCAGTTTTTACGCGTCATTTCTAGAAGTATTGTGGAGAAAATACAATGTCACTATCATCATGTAGTGATTCTCTGTAATAGTTTGCATTTCTACAATATGCGCCTTTTTCGCAAGTTATCAATTATTAGACGTATTTTTGTTATTTTAAATTCTTCTTCTTCTTCTTTTGGCATCATAACCCTGGATGGGTCTTTGCCTGTCTGGCTATGTCCTTCCATTCAGATCTCTCTTGTGCCCTTCTTCCCATTGTCTTATGTTCATTGTTTTCAGGTCGTCTTCCACGTCACCCAACCATCTCGTTCTGGGCCTTCCTTTTTTCGCCTTCCTATGGGCTTCCATTGTAACATTTTCTTTGTTGTTTTTGCATCGTTTTGTCTCTGCATAGGACCCAGCTATGACAGTCTTTGGCTTTTCACAAATCTTAAAATGTCATAACCTTCATTTAACTCATTAACCGTTTCTCCTGATTCTCCATGTGCCATCTTCCTCTTGTACCGGGCCATATACTTTCCTCAGTATTTTTCTCTCGAATTTCCTGAGTTGGGCTTCATCTTTTTTCGTCATTACCCAAGTTTCACATCCATAGGTTACTACGGGTCTAATCAGTGTTCTGAAGATAGTCATTTTGGTTATTTTGTCTAATAATTTCGATGTCATTAATGTTTTATTAGCATAGTATGTACGATTCCCGCTGGAAATACGTGCATTAATTTCGCTACTTACGGAGTTCTTCTGATTGATTTCTGTGCCGAGATATGTAAAGGCATCCACTCGTTCGATAGTATAGTTGTCTATTGTGATATTATTTTCATTGTCAGATATTCTTTTGACTGTCATATACTTCGTTTTTGCTTCGTTTATTTTGAGACCTCTTTTTCTTGCTTCAGGATCAATTTGTTTGAACACTTCCATTAGTCGTGGCTTATTCCTACTAATGATGGCTATATCGTCTGCATATACAGTAATTTGTACTGATTTGGTGTTTATATGGCCGGTTATATTGGTTTTTCTGATGACTGCCTCAAGAACTAGGTTGAATAGCATGGTTGATAGGGCATCTCCCTGTCTTACTCTCATGTTGATGTTAAATAGGGAACTCTGACTGCGGCTTTGGAACCCTGCAACGTCATTTTTATGAGGCTGATGTATTTCTTAGGTATACCTAGATTACAAAGGTCTTCCAGCATTCTGTCTCTTTCCACACTATTAAAAGCTTGTTTTAAAGTCTATACATATTATATAGGTCTATGTCGTATTCATAAGCTTTTTCTTGTATCGTTCTTAGTATGAATATGTTATCTGTAGTGGCTCTATTTGGTCTGAATCCATTTTTATAATCACCAATTATATTTTCGGAGTATTCTAATAAACTATTGTAGATTATACCAGAAAGAATTTTGTATATTACATTTAACAATGTAATTTTCCTATAATTTTGGCATTCCCTCTTATCTCCTTTTTTATATATTGGCTGTATGAGGCCAACTGTCCATTCCTCTGGCATTTGCTCCTTCGTCCATATTAATGTTATTAGGTAATGGATTCTTTCCCAGAGTTCGGATCCTCCATGCTTTAATAATTCTGCCGAAATTCCGTCCGTTCCTGGTGCTTTATTGTTTTTTAGTTTATTTATTATCTGAACCACTTCTTCATAACTCGGATTTTCGATGTACAGCTCCACCGTATAATATATTGTCTCGTTCTGATCATTTTCGTTGTCTGCATTTAGATTTTCTTCGAAATATTGTTTCCATCTCATTATAATTTTTTGCTTCTCGGTTAGTAGTTCTCCGTCCTTGTCTTTGCATATCGTTAGTTTTGGTCTAAATGACTGTGTGCTTTCTTTTATGCATTTATAGAATTTTCTGCTTTCGCGTCTGTTGTTATGCTTTACGATTTCTTGTACTTGTTTTTTCATAGCCCCTCTTTTCTTTCTTCTGCAGATTCTAGTCGCTTGTATTCTTTTTTCGTTATAAATCTCACTGCTATTTCTTGTATTTCTTTGAAATTGGTTAAGCCTAGCCTGCCTTTTTTCCTCTACTGCAGTTCTGCATTCATCATCATACCATTCCGCATTTCTTTGCCTTTTGGCTTTTCCGACAGTTTCCTCTGCTGACTCCTTTATAATTGTTTTTAATTGTCTCCATTCCTCCTCTGCAGTATCTTCCTCTCTAGTTCGGTTGAGTTTTATTTGGAGAGCATTTCTGTAATCTTGTCTCTTTGTTGTGCTTTGATTTGAATATTTTTCCCTTTTGCTACTGTCGCTATTTTCTGCCGTAATTTTGCCCCTACAAGATAGTGATCTGAGTCAGAGTTCGCCCCGCGATACGTTCTGACATTAGTTATGTCTATTGCCCATCTTTTTGAGATGAGTATATGGTCAATTTGATTGGCTTCGTTAGTTCCTGGTATTTTCCATGTTCCTTTATGGATCTCTTTTCTCTGGAAGTTAGTACTGACAACTACGTAATTATTTGCTGCTGCGAACTGTGCCACCCTGAGTCCATTTTGACTGGTTTCAGTGTGCAAACTGTTTTTCCCAAATATATTTGCAAACGTTTCTTCTTTCTCCAGTTTAGCAATAAAATCGCCTAACGTTATAACAGCATCGTGTCTTTGGATTTTATCACATAAATCCTGTAGTTCTCATTAATCGGTGCATATACATTAACCATTGTCACGTTAGGAAATTTACCTTTAAATCTTATGGTGCAAATTCTATCTGATATTGGTGTAAATGCGATAATGGCTTTCCGCAGTTTTTTGGTTACCATAAACCCTACTCCTCTTTCACCTTGTCTCATTTCATTTCCGGAGTAGTATAGTGAGAATTTATTCTTATGAATTTCTCCCTGGCTCTCCCATCTGATTTCCTGCAGTGCCTATATTTCAACTCCGTATTTTTCAAGTTCTCCTGCCATACTTATGTCCATTTTTTGTCCATTTTTCTGTGCTGAGTTCGTCGTTGTGAGATCCGTCCGTTTGTTTCATTAGTCATTGTATTCGCAACAATTGAGTTCTACAAGGAAGGGTTGTTAACCCTTCGCTTAACCCCCTTTTCATCGGAGGACCAAGGCTCCCTTCTTCGTCTGCCCTGAAACCCACCATTCACTGGGGTTAGTAACCCTGTCTCCAGTGGGGTTGCTCAGGTTACCGGTGTGTACCAGCTTGGAGGTGAAGATAGTAATTGAGTAGGAGAGGCTAAGTGATGCCAACAGGGTACGACATCATGTATTGCGCTTCACTACCCCTTTACACACCGTTATTTTAAATTATTAACTCATATCATTATTTCATGTAGGCGTTTGCAAGAAGATCTAGCCAGCGTCTCACTAGACTGCCGTGATGCTAGAAAAGAGCTCGATATAGCCAAGAGGCAGGTGGAAGATTTGAAAACTCAACTGCAACATTATGTCGCCGAAGTTAAACGGACGGAAGACCTCATATCTCACAAAGAATTAGAGAGGACAGAAATATTGGATCAGTTTAAGAGCTTATCACAAGAAAACAACCTTTTGGAAAGCACAAATCACACTTTAGAAAACGAAGCATCACAATCCCGAGTGCAGCTCTCTGTTGCTTTAGACCACGCGACAGATTTAGAAAGACATGTTGAAAATCAAGAGGCTATTATCAAGAGTTACGAAAAACAGGTAAGAAATCTTTATACTACATTTTTTAATCACAAGTTCTTCATAGCAGTTTAATATTTGTACTACTTTTAACCCTCTGATACCTATATCGATCAAATACCTATATTTGTTGAATTAGAACGTTGATACATTTTTTAATCCATACCCTTGAGTTTGCATTATATAATAAATTAGAAATCTCTAAATTCAGATTTTTTTATTGAAAGATTGATGAAATAAATATTAGAATAAGCAAAGGAAACAGGGCATAATACGCAAGTAAAAACTGTTACTTCTAAAATGCTAGAGCAGAATTCGCAGATGCAATTGCATAAAACACTAGTAAGAAAAGATTTGACTTATGGTTGTGAAGCATTGACCCTGTTGAAGAAAGGCGAAGATGCTCTGAAAAATTTTGTTTTGAAAGCAAAGTTTTTTTAAATCTCACAGAATTCGTTGGCTTGGCCATTTGCTCCGAATGAATAATGAAAGAAATACAAAAAATATCATCGAATGGAGGCCGCCCGAAAATAGACAATTAGAAAGTGTTGGTTAGAGAGTGTCGAGAATGATCTAAAGCTTATAGGAGTTCGGAATTTAAAAACGATTGCCAATGTCAGAAGGAAATGGCATGCAATTGTTGAATAAACCAAAACCCACAGAGAGTTTTAGCGCTAGAGAAAGAAGAACTACAAACATTGCAAACAATTCAATAATTCAACATCATCTTTAGTCACATACCGGAAATCTTCAAGAATTGTATAAATGAGTTAAACAATTTCTTTATTGTTAGGTGACTCTACTGAGTGTTCTTTTTGTTATATGAAACAGGTTCTTTTATGAAATTTAAGACAGTAAATGATAGAATATGTTACATGAAGTTTGGAGTAAGATGTGTAACGTCTCGATGGTATCAGTTCATGCACCAACCGAAGAAATGCATGATTTAACATATGTCTTCTATGCTTTAGAGAGATATAGAGTTAGATACTTTTTTGTAGTTGTTTCTAGACAAGATAACACTTATTTATGGGAGATTTTAATGCTAAAATAGGAAAATGAGTGTTTAGACTCAATATCGGTAAACACATTCTATACGACCATTGCAAGGATAATGGCCTAGGAGTAGTATATTTTGCAGCATCAAATACTCTTTTTAAATAAATCAACGATATTCGATCTTAAAAATATTCTTAAAGAGACCGGGATTTCTACCTTTCCCTCTTAGGGAATAACGAGAAATCAATTTGATCATATTCTGATTATTGCCAGATGTGACATTATCGATGCTAAAGGATTTACAGGACCTAAACGCAGATAGTAACCATTTTTTGGTGAAAGCCAACTTCAGACAAAGAATTTTTAAACAAAAGAAGAGCAAAGTTAAGAGACCCCTAGAAAACGGCAGTAATTATATCTACAGGATGTTTAAACAAATGATTGAACAAATGAAGTTATATACATGCTTTTTATTAGCTCATCTGACAAATTTGAAAAGAGGAGCAAGTAAAAGTCCCTTGTAAGAGTGCTATCCGTTATTAACGTAAATAAAGTATTTTCCGTAATTATATTAGAACGATTGACTGAATGTGTGGAATATCAAATAGGAGTATAGATTTATGAAATATCAACAGTAGATCAAATATTAACGATTAGACAGTTAATAGAGAAATGCTCTAGGAAGTTGTCAGGAATGCCATGGCAGAACTGGGAATGCCAAAGGAGTTATTTAATCTCACATAAGTTTGTCTACAGGGATCTGCAAGTCTTGACAAGTAAGACTTAAAGGAAAACTGTAGACCTTCTTTGCAATTAATAATATCTCTAACGGGAAGATGCGTTATGCTTACTACTACTATGCATCGTGGCAAAAACAAACATTTCTCTTTATAAATAAAGGATTTTGCCGTCTACTAGCTTTCGCTGATGATATAGATATAGTAGGCCAGTATATACAACGTATTAGTGCTAAGGAAGATTTCATTAAATTGGAAAATTCCGAAAAGAAGTTGGTTTACAAATAAAAACGAAGAAAAATGGGCTGAGTATAGGGAAAATCATACTTTGACCAAACTAATGCGTTAATTAGATGTAACGAATACACCACTTACCACCATTAAATTAGTAAGTAGCGGTCACATGAAAATAAATACTATGAGCGTTTAGGCGATTTGGAAAATCAACAAAAGTGTAGCTTAATATAAAAATACTTAAATCTATTTTACTTTCAAATAATATTCATTTAACGAGTTGCGACGCATCACTGATGACTTTTGGTCTCTTCTGACTTATGATACACACAACTTCTTGAATATTTACAATAACTGGCTTATAGCAAACCTTTTTTTGCTGCAAAGATATGTATACATATTTGTTCTTTATTACTACGTTTTCCTTCCGTGTTTATTTTCTATCCATACTCTAAAATTAGATGTTAGTAACTTGTCCATCAATGCATTTATTATTAAATTATTTGTCGTGACCTTAAGATCTGTTCTTCATCTTATAATTTATTTGTATACTATGGCAGTATTCTGACGACATTATAAATGCAAATCCTTTCAAAACCAGATAAAAGTTATCAAAATAATATGTCAAATACCAATTTCAAACCAATTTCAATGACTTGTTATACAATGATAATTATTTATTATATTTTGTAATAATCGAAATTTTTACCAATCTGGTTTTTATCAGAATATTGAATGAGAATAAAATCTTGTAAAAATATATTACAATAATTTGTGTTTTTAGATATCGGAATTAACTACTCAGGTAGCGAGTTTAGAAATCCAACTAAAGCAAGGTTCCTCCATGAGCGTTAGAACTACAACAGAACTAAAACAACTAAAGGACCTGTGTGTGAAACTCGATCATGAAAAGGACGAATTAAAACGAACATTGAGAGATAGGGAAGATGAAAAATCGAGTGTAAGTTGATATCAGAAATCCTCCGGTAACAGTAATATCAATTTTATTTAGTATTTACCTTCAGCTCATCTGATAATTATTAATTTTTTATATTATATTTTGCCAAAGTTATAGTTTTAATGTGTATACTAGTACCAAAGCGGAGTCAGGGTGCTCGTTAAGCCCTCTTCTGTTTAATATAATAATGGACGAAATAATGCAAGCACTACGTAAAGGTCATGGTTACAGAATGGGGAACAGAGACATCCAAAAATTTTGTTATGCAGATGACGCCGCATTAATCACCGAGACAAAAGAAGAGCTCGAAGGATTAACACACATCTTCAATACAACAGCCAAAAAATACAATATGATAATATCAGGAGAAAAAACTAAATGTATGGCAACATCTAAATACCCACTGCGATGTAAAATCGACATTGATGGGAAAATAATAAAGCAAGAATCAAGTTTTAGATATCTTGGAATAGATATAACTAGTTACGAAGATGTTGAAGAAGAAGTGCGATAACAAAACTTAAAAGCAAGTAAAGCGGCGGGATCTCTTAATGACACAATCTGGAAGAACAAACACCTAAGACAAGACACAAAAACAAAAATCTACAAAGCAGAAATTAGACCTATATTAACATACACGGCGTAGACAAGACCTGACACATCTAAAACGATGCGACTACTAGAAACCAGAGAGATGAAAATAGTTCGACGAATATCAGGGAAAAGTCTGTTGGATAGGGAGAGAAGCGAATACATAAGAAAATCATGCAATATAGAAGACATAAATGGATAGGTGACAAAACGTACACAGGAGTGGAACGAACACATTAGTAAAATGGCAGAGGATATGATAGTACGAATAGGACGAGATAAGTCACCAAATGAACGAAGAAGTATTGGCAGACCAAGAAAAAGATGATGAGATAATTTAAACAATTTAGGCGGCTAACATTAAACAAGAAACAGATTTTAAAGCCTACATACAAGAATGAAGAAGAAGACTATTTTTATTTCAGTATTGATATTCGTCATGTCTTTAGTAATGTTAACATATTGTTATTGGTTATTGATTAATTAAAGCCGAATCAACTACAAATACAATTAGAAATATTTTGTTTGATGTTTCGTTCTCCTGCTTGAAAAACTGTTTTCAAAACCTCAGTTTTGAAAAGTAATAATTGACTGATTAATCAAAAAAATATTATAATTAAGAAATATTCACGTACACTGAATACTAATAAATATTGTTTTAATATTTTTAGATTGAGCGACAGATTGATCTTCTCTCTAGGGAAAACAGGGAATTGAAAAGGGCTTTGGATAAAGATCAAGACAATCAAACTGGTTTGGAACGATTATTAAACGAAGCTAGACAGGAAGTTATTGAGCAAAGATTACTTAATGAAGAATTGCGATCAGAAGTTGCAAAATTGGAAATAAACGTCAAGGATCTCCAAGAAAAACTGTAAGTAGAATGGCAGTAGCAAACAAAACTGGTAGTTTAATTGAAAGGAATTTTAACGGATACATTTATGGTGTTTTTAAGTTAAAGAAGTTAATTATTAATATTGACAGTTTATATGTGCTTAATTTGTGATCAATTTACCATTGAAAATACATTATATTAGTTAATTGTGTAAAAATGTGTAAATAACACGAAAGCGAAGCTTATATATATATATGTATATATATATATATATATATATATATATATATATATATATTTATATATATATATATATATATATATATATATATATATATATATATATATATATATATATATATAATGAAGTAGACCTAATTTTCTTTCATCATCATTTCGACATTCATGCATTATTTACTTGTCTTCATTGGTCGATCCCAAAAGTTTAATTATTTTTCTTTTCTAACTAAAGTCGAGTGCATACTTATGAGTTATGAGTATATTTCCGTTTATATTACCAAATTTATCGTGTATTGTTTATAATAAAGCAATCAAAAACAAAATGATAAACGTGCAAAGTGAAAGCTCATGAAAGATGACAATAATACACTCTTGGTAAGCGTGAACTAAAGTTTTCATTATATCCTGAACAGAAACGTTTATAAAACAATTAGATATAGAAATAACTGTTATGGAACCATATCGGGGAACCATAAAAAGAATTTGAGAGCAAACAAAGTGTAGATAAAACGAAAATAAATCTAATAATTTCACCGAGCTCTTAAATATATCCAGAAGACACAACTTGATACAAAAAATTGCCAAATATCATACGATAACAGCCAATATAATTTGAAGTAATGGGGATTTAAAAGCTATACAACTTAACAAGATCTACGTAGAAGAGAAGGATCTAAAGTCCTGACCTATCTAGACAATCAAATTTACTGAAGTGGAAAAATATCTGAAATACTTCTAAGCTGTGTCTTGTATATTTTAGATCTCAAGGCTCTCGATTGCCCTCCTATAATACCTGATCAGGTTCTAAGAGCATTGACATTGGCGAACAATTTGCTTGTAGGTTCCACCCCATTTTCGCTTAATATACATTACAACAAAGGGGAGTTTTATATATATATTTATATATTTATATATATTTATACAATATAAAATATACAATATATTTATTGAAGTGGTAACGTTATCAGGTGTTATTGTTCGTACACGTGAATACCATTGTAATAATAAGTCGGAATGAGGTAAGATGTGCAATATACACATCCGATATTAAAATTATTATGAGAAGACGGCGGAAGTGGAGAAATGATTCATGAGCGTAAAGTTCCGATTAAAGATTAGAATTACTTTAAACCTGACCGATCGGGACATATTGCAGTATCAAAGGAAGCAATATAGTATTGGTAATACTACTACTACTATCGGTTTACAGCGTTCTCCGACGCCTTCCGACTCCTAACCGCCATTCTTCTCTATTCAACCATAGGCCTGGAGGGATTTCTCTTTCCTCTAGTTCTTTCTAAATTACCTCTCTCCAGCTTCTTCTGGGTCTTCCTCTTTTCCGTCTCCCTTGTGGTGTCCACGTCAAAATCTGTTTTGGAATCCTGTCATCTGGCATTCTCTGTACATGGCCGTACCATATTAACTGTTTTGTTTTTATGTCATCAACTATTGTATGCTTGACTCCCATCATTTCTCGTATTCTCTCATTTGGTATCCGATCTCTTCTTGATTTGCCTGCTGCTCTTCTCCAGAAGTCTATTTCTGTTGCTAGTAACAGTTTCGCTTTAGATATTTTTTGGTCCCACAGAATGCCGTTCATCATGGATATGGCTTTTCTACCCTGTATGTTTCTGTCTTTTATAGCAGTATCGAGTGTTCCATCTTGAGTTATCTTCATATCCAGGTACTTGTATTCATCACAGTTTCTAATTTCTACCCCATCGTCTAATATAATGGACTGTTTTGTCCCTTCAATACACATGGCTTCAGTTTTCTTAATGTTGACTTTGTATTGGTAATAGAGTATTGGTAATTAGTATTGGTAATAAATACAATAACTCTTACCGGGAAACTTAATTAATTTTACACTCACTGAAACCATATGGACTCTCTTAAAATAGACAGATGGTCAAAATAAGAGTTCTAAGATTTACCTAGGTTAGGTTAGGTTAGGTTCAATATGAGTACGAGTGGGAGCTTAACCACTCTTCCACTCGACCTAAGAGGGTTATTCGACCTAGTCTATTATGACCTTTGGTGATAATTCAACGAAGTCGTATGACTCGAGTTGATGATGCTCAAATGCCTTATTCAGAGGCAAAATCTGCAATCCGTACTTTTTATTAGTCTGATTTTATTCCTATTAATTTACTGCCCTTAAGACGGCAGTGTCCTGTTAGAAGATTTACGATAATTCGAAAATGATTCCTATTCATATTAAATAGATCTTTGAATCTCTTCTTCGAAGATTTATTTATAAAAGCCTTTAAATATTTAATACCCGTTTGTTCGTACCAGTAATTACATTATATCCGTTCCACCCAGTCCGATACCGTTCTTTTGGCTGTGCTTTTTACTATTCCAACTACAGGTTCTGGAACAGGAAGATTCTGAAGCCAAACTAACTTGGAGTGAATTCCATTCGATTCCAGTGCCTTTAATGCCACTTACCTATCCGATACAATTTTTATTGATCTGCCTTAATTTGTTCCTTCAGGGACATTTCTAGAGCATACATTTTTGCTTGGAAGATAGTGGAGTGATTAGCTACGCTTTCACTTACACCGGTTTTAAAGCCAAATGTATACCAGCCAAATAATAAATTTATTGTAATTTTCGATACCATTACAGTTACAGTTATAACAATAATTCAATTATAATGTCAAGAAAAGGTAAGTATCACTCGATTCAATAATCTGTGTTGACACCACGGTTCTGGATGACACTCATCATTCGATTTGGCATAGAACTGATCACATTTTGGATGTCCTTTTTGGGGAAAAGCATTTCTCAATGAGAGCCATTCGAAGCTCATGTAGCTCTTGAGCCATTCACACATGTTGTTGGAGCAGGTATACGACGTATTATATGTCTTTTGAGAAGGCTTCATATATGCTTAATAGAATTAAGGTCTGGACTTTGAGCAGCCCAGTCCCTTTTTGGAATACCAACATTTTCAAGATACTGTGTTACAATCCTTACCGCGTGTGGCCTCACTTTATCTTGCATTAGCAGACAATATAGTGATGTACCTCCGTTATGTACAGTTGCGGTCACGGAATAGTTTACACCTTACTTTTTATATTGTAATACTGTAAAATTGCAGTGTCGTACGGATTTGATAAATGTCAAAGTCAAAAAATTTCAAAACGTCAATGCTTTCGCGAGTGTTCAACAATAAAATAAAAGTATATTAAACTCTTCCAAAATGGTTAGAATACATTTGAATTATGCGCAAATTATGAGGGATTATCAATTCTATAACATGAGGGGATTGGTGCTATCTATGAACAGAAGACTGCAAAATTGTATTGACAAGAATGGGGCTTCCACCAAATATTAATTATTATTTATCATTGTTTATCGTTTTTTAATATAAAATAGATTTAAAATAAAATGCATATTAAAAAAAAAAGACTTCTTTATTTTCGTTATTAAGATCATAATCTATTTTATTCAAAAAACTGTTTTCTATATTTTTCATTTTGTAAAATATTTTGATATTTTAATTTTAATCTACCTATTCTAGCTAGTACACCACTGGCAACGTCACTTTGACGTAAAAGGTGCGTTTAAACGAAGTAAAAATTTAAAAAATGGGCTCCTTGATACGTGAACCTGTAAACTATTCCGTGACCGCAACTGTACCTGTTTGCTGTTAATGAATCCGTCTCAATTAAGACGAGATCCGTGTATGCCTCAAAAGAAATCCTTGCCCTAAACATTACTGAGTCACCACCAAAAGCAACCCGGTGTGACCCAGTGCAGGCAGAATAACGTTCTCCAGCCCTTCTGTGGACCTTATTTCCATCTTAAACCATCTTTATCATAAAGTAATATTGTACACTTATTAGTAAACGATGTTTTTTTCCAATCGCCTATTGTCCAATTGAAGTGTTCACGGACAAATGCTAGTCTGCGTCTTTTGTGAGCAGAAGTAGGTAATGACCCAGTTGCTGCATTGCAAGCTGTCAAAGACTGTCCTCTTAACCGCCGTCGAACAGTAGAAACAGAAACGCTGATAACTGGTTTTTGGGTTTGCTAAATATGGCAGCAGTAGTAGTAACGCGATCTTCTCAGACTGTTGTCTTTCTTTTAGCTCCAGTACCGAGTCACCGTTGATGAGATCCGACCTCAAGAAGTTCTCCGCACAGTTGAACGACTAAAATTCAATTGTCGTGCCACATCCCTTTGGCTTGCTCCATTTTCCAGCAATGTAAGAATCTCAACATATTTTTGATATTTTTCCATCGTTAATAAGAAATACATTTCACTTTAAGGAGGCCAGTGTAACACCAAGATATCTCAGAAACTCTTTAGAACACTACAATCGTTCACACAGTTCTCAAAACAATTAATTTCGCCAAAATTCGTTCATTCGTAAATAATGACTACTGAGAATTTTATGGTTTAATAGGTTTTACGATTTTCACGCTTCTCAATACACGTGATAATTCATTTAATTTAATTAACATAAACAAATTAAAAGAAAAGTGAGAAATATATGAAAAAATATAAAATTTCCTAAATTTTGTGGGTCGCCCCTTTTCTCTGACGCGCGTTCTTATGGATTGATTATTACTTGGGTGTAATAAAAATAAGTGAAAGATTATCTTTAATCCATTATTTAACAAGAAAGGCATGTTTATGAATCTAGGTGAATCAATATATAAACAAACAAAATAAGATAAATTTCACGCAAGTAAATTAATAATGTCAATAAAATAATTCAAATTTTTTTATGTAATTTATGAGGGCAGTATATGTAATTATTGTTAAATCAGTTTTGCAAATGTAAATAGATAAAACAATGATTTATACACTAAATTAAATTTATGTTAATCATAATTCACTCAAATTATTCAAATGATTCTGCAATTCTACAAAAATGCAATAAAGACGTCGTTCCGTAGATTATGTTAGGTTAGGTAACATAACAATACCTATGGCTTCTCTCGTACTTATTGCGTTTTTAAAACCAAGTTAATTAAGTTCTTATTCACATTTTTTGTATATCCTTGAATGAAAAAATTTTACGAATATCTTCAAGGTGACTATTCTTAGGATGTATATTGCCTAATCGAGGTAATGTTTCGATTCCTGAAATATCTTGCAAACTGTGTAAATTTCGTATGGAAATTAAATGATGCCTATTTTGCTTATTTTATTTCGTACATCTCTGTTTATCATGTTATACTGGACTGCGTTATTTTTTGATTTGGCAATGTCTACCATTCCATTGAGCATCTCCTCTGCCATTTAAGATTTTTTTTGGTTCTCGCTTACTATCTCCAATAACTTTTTTTGTTGCTTGTTTGTTGCTACAGTGTGCATCTCAGTTGGTTTATGTGTTCCAAACTTTTGTCAATTTCAGTTTTAGGTTCTTTCTTTATTCTTTTCACTCGAAGCATTGATGTAATATTACTAATACTAATGCTGTCTTCATTGTAAAGTTTCATAAGATATCCATTATTCTGTTTATCCATAAGATATCCATTATTCTGTTTCTATTTTGTTTAGATGGCAATAATGTTGTTTTTTCTATTTTTAAGGATTTTCTAAACTTTTCTCTGACCTCTATATTGTACTCATGTGTTCCATGTCTTTGATGAATATTGTCCAACAGTATCTTTTTATGCTTATTAGAATTGACGTTGCTTCTTGAACATTTGTATTGCTGACATGAATCGACATAGAAAATATATTCGATATCTTCTATGTCATTTTTTATTTTCTCATACAGTAAAATAGTCACCTATGAGTCTATAAGGAGTAGAAAATTATGGTATTTTGAGGTTCCTTTTTCTTTCTTGCTAGTTTCCGAGAGTGCGCATATATCGATTTTTTGAATAATTCATTCTAATTATATGTTTATTTGCAATCTACCCAAATCCCATTTCTTCTAGGCTGATGGTTTTTACTCATAACTTCCACAAACTTATCTGTTCTTTATTAATCAATCGATGGAAATCTTTTTATCCATTTAGATTGGAAGCTCTCCTGTAAAATCTGATTTTTTAATCGATTTTAATCAATATTTTTAAATGTCAAATAATAAAGTACAGTAAAGACCGAGTATTATGTATGTTATTTCAGTAATATTTATCATTGTAATTGATAAAACTATTAAATTAATAAAATATTAAAAATTAAAAAAATTATTTTTGTGTTTACTATATATGAAATATGGAAAATTTACTTGCAGAAGATCAACAACTCAAGAGGTGAATCTATACCATGAGAAGGCTTTAGAATATAGTCAAGAAAATAAGCAGTTAAGGAGGGATATCGCCAATGAAAGATTTAGTAGGGCCAGAGAAGATGACAATAAACGTTATCCTTCACTGTAACGCATGCTATTTGATTTTATATTGATTTTATAATTGACAGCGCAAGTTAAAGCTTTTAACGATAGTACTTGAAATTACCATTTCTATACTTTCTATGCTTATCTATTTTTTTTATTTGTCTATCTACATCTTTGTTTTAACTCCTAGAACTTTTTATATTATAAATGAATGCCGGTGAAACGATCGCTTCCTAACGGTTCGTTAGTCGGAGGAGGTGAAACTTCTTCGCACCTGACAGAACCTCACTATAATTGCTGTTCACTTTGCTGCTAACTATTGCACATCACTCCAGTCATCAGAGACCAGATGCCACTGGACCTTTAAAAATCATAGAATTAAGGGGAATTTTGATAAGAACGTCCATTTTGGGACTTTAAAAATATGCAAAAAAGTTTTCAATCACTACCCCCGACTTGCCCATAAAACTCTCCCCCGTATCTGTTTTTATTTATCAAGAATCTGAACGCTATAGAAAAAAATGTTTCAAATAAAAAATGTAATGGAGATAATTTTAAACAAAATTTTTATTAGGTAGCACTTTTTGTGTAGAATGAACCGTTCTCTCATAAACAACGCTTAGAGTGGCTGGTGATTGTGAAAGGTAAAAATTCGATATTTTTTTAATCAAAGTGTGCTATCGATAAAAATCAAAGGTGAATAGTACAGCTTTCGTATACAATTTTTGTTTCAATATTTCATGAGCTCTAAAACATTTAAAACTCCTTTTTTTCAATTGCATAAGTACGTTTTTGAATACTATACAACTTCAGCTACAAATTCCATCCAATGCCGCCTTCATGAAAACCGTTTCCTTGACGCGGCATTGTTTGTAAAGTTAAAGTTTAAATTCATCGTTCTTTTAGGCATAGGTCAAATGCCTCATATTTGTTGCCAATCGAAATTTCAGCTTATAGATTTTGTAGATTAGGTTCTATTAATTAAAATTTTACAGCGATCGATTAATGGAAGTGATAAATTTTATTGATCTTATGAGATTCGTTAAACATTGAATACGAAAGTTGCGCTTTACCTTTAAAATGTATTTTGATTTTTGTCGATATAACACTCTTATCAAAAGATATCGAATTTTTACCGTCGATTTGATACAAATGTTATTTAAAAAAATTATTTCGCGCGCGTAACTCTCAATTGAAATCGCCGGTCGCTTGAATCGTTGCTTCTAAGAGAATGTTTCATTCTAGAGAAAAAGTGCTAATAAATATTTTTGTTCAAAATTATCTCAGCTCCATTTCTTGATCAAAACATTTTTATACGGTGTACAGAATTTTGGTAAATCGATATTCCCCCCCCCCATATTAGGGGTGGCATTTTAGGGAGAATCCCGGTAGTAGGAGGTGGCAAACTTTTTGAAGAACCAAAATGCATATTCTCAGCAAAATTCAATATGTAAGAAATCTAATCTCTGATGACTGGACTAAGCAGTTGTTAACTTATTTATAAATACTTTTCTAGTTCTATGTTCAGTCAATTATTGGACATTTTTAACATTTGATCTCAATGAAGATAGCCTCAAATGAGTCTGATAGAACTAAATATTGGTGTTTGGCAGTATTGAAATTTACATAACAAATAAAACATATGCAATCAAAAGCAATAATATATTTAAAAATTAATAGTTTAGAATTACCAAAAAAGAAAAAGTTTAAAAACAGCTTTTAAAACTAAATAGTAAAAAATGCCAGTATAAACAATGAAGGTAAAAAGACATGTGTTGCAATCTGGCAACTGGTGGTTTGAGGGTTCTGACTTTATTGCCAAATCTATCCGATAACCTATCAAAGGGCAATGGCCAAAAAAATTTTCCAATAATTAACTGCAATTAATATAAAAAAACAAATGTTAATTCATTCGTGTTTGATACAAACTATATAAACTAATATAATAAAAATGTACTTTTTAAAAGTTTTCTCTCTTTGTATTTGAAGCATATATACATTATAAGTACATGGCAACACTGCCAATGCAAAATTATTATGTGAAACTTAATTGACAGCTAATTTAAGGCTGTCTTTATCGGAACCAAATGTGAAAAATTGTCCAATTATCTATATGATTCTTCTTCTTTTGTATATTTTGAAATTACTAGTAATATAAAGAAAAAGTACTTATTGAGTACAAGTATTTTAATATTATTAGCACTGCCATGGCTATAACGGTGATTAATGATAATGTAATTTTAAATCTCTTATATATAGCAAATCATTATGTGTAATTTTAATATATGCTTGTTCCATTACACCGTACAAGCCTTTTAAATAAATATGAATATGTTTAAAACATTATAACATAATTATCATTACTTTGATTGTTTAATTCATTAAAGGGTGAAGTCTCCGCAGAAGCCTTTAAATGTTTTAGCGATTTTTTTATGAAAGAAACGGTAAGAGGATAATAACATTTAAAGATGTATTTAATCATGACTAGTGTGAGCAAGTGTTAAAAAAGATTTATTTAGTAATAGTACCGAAGGACGTTGCAGCTGTCCTAGTAAGGCATGTTTAATTTGACGCGTTCTGCGAGACGTAGCATAAACCTGATAATGAGCAAATTTTAATCTAGAAAAAACACCTACAAACGGCCTGCAGCTTTCTTTGATGGTAACGAGCAAAATTGAGTCGGGCGATGAGTAAGTAGTACAGTAAAAAATAGAAAATTGTGGCCCAGTGTCACTCATTTGGTGATTTCTACAGGAAAGCCTATAGGTGATATAAAATCTAAAATAGATTGAAAATTGGTGGACTTATGCTGTGTCCGGTTCTAAAAAATCATAATTCGTGAACACATTTAAAGTTTTGGGACGCGTTATAAAGTTGTTATGACTGACGCTACACTGACATTTTGTTTCAAGATGCTTGCAAATTAACGCAAACTTCTTTTTACGACATCTATAAGTGTATTAGAGAACTAGAAATCACTAGATTGTCCTTTTAAAGGTCGATTCAGACACATCAGTCCCGTCATAGTCTCGGCGCCGAACCGGTCCTGTTTGGTCACAGAACTATCAACTATCTGACAGCTGTGAAACTGTTCGTCGCCTGATGAATGTGAATGTGAAAGTTAAAGTATATTTTATATGACGGATTGTTCGGTTCGGCGCCAGGACTGTGACGAAACGTGACTGATGTGTCTGAATCGACCTTAAAACAGATATCTATATGCCACAGGTAGTCCGATTAGTACATTTACGCGCAAAGAGGTCGACGTATTTGTCCTTATTCTAGAAGGTTCGAAGTACAAATATCGGTTTTTTGAAAATGATTTAGTGACCTTTGCCCTTTTTTAAGTTAAATTTAATCAAATTGATGACTAGTCAAATGAATATAAAAGAAACTACAAATCTCATTTATGAGATAACACTAAACAGTAACTAGCAGTAACTAGCAGTAGTAACAGTAACACTAAACAAATCTCATTTATGAGATAACAATATATAACTTGTTCTGTATCCATCTCCTGTATAATGTAATGGAATGAAGTATAATAATTTTATTTGAGAATTAACTATTTTTAAACTCAAACAAATTAATGTTGATAGAAAATCTACTTAGCTCAATGTTAACGTAATTATGTCAACTGAACTACACTTAAGATAACGATAATTTGGAGTTTAATTTTTTTAATGAAATGATTCAAAATGTATAAACTGTGTCAAAAAACTTTTATCAAATGACTTTTATCATATGTTAACATGATTTTATATAAATTGTATATGAATTTTGTTGTTTAAAATTTAAATCAATAATTTTTTGTTGATCAGTGAAACATTCACGGATTTAAATTAGTCAAAATACCTACACTGTTTCGGGTGTTTCTACGAATTTAGGTACAATTGTAATTGGTCGCAAATCTGCTGTAGTGACCTTTCCCAAGTTAACATGCTTCTTTTCTAACTTTCCTGCACCGTACTGAAGACGACCATTTATCAGAAATACGTATATCCGGTTGCCTTCCATCAATATACCTAGTTTACTTTTTTTTCCTATTTTGAGAGACATTCCATTACATCGAACTTTTATTATTCACCCGCATCTTTCTATATATACATATAGATATAGTATATATATATATAATATATATATATATATATATATATATATACAAATATATATATATATATATATATATATATATATATATATATATATTTATAGAGAGAGAGAGAGAGAGAGAGACCTTTGAGGTTTATTGGGATACGCAGCGGTGAAATAAGTGTACTGTTTTAATTTTAAGTTTCAAGCTGTCGAAAATGTTTATTTTCATCATCAGGAAAAACTGAAAAAAGTGCGACTGTTTGTAAAGCATTTTCGAAAAAAAAAAAATTTTATTAAAAGGTGTAAAGGTTGTTATTTTACTTACGTTATTGAGATTAGTCTTTCGTGGATGTTACACTAACAGGTGACAATTTTACGCACCACTCATCGAATGAGTAAAATATTAAAAAATACATGGTGTAAAACATCAAATTTACAAATTATTGTATAAATTGACACATAAGAAAAAGACATTTAAAAAACAGTTTTAAAGCCAAGTGTGCCATGCCATCCAACTGTGAATTGTGATTAAGAGTAAATGTCATTTCTGGACATTGCAAATTACACCACTTATTCTTTTATTATTTTTTCTTTTTCTTATGAAGTATTACTACTAATAGAATACACATCAAAATTTACCAGTAAGTTGTTTGAAATTAAAAAAACAAAATTGTATACTAAAAATTTTTAAGATATGCTGAAAGTTGAAACATTACAATGAATCAGTTGATGGGACATCATTGGAATAGAGAATGGTTATCCAAATTTAATAGGCAGGAGTAAATAGTGCTTAATTGATTTATATCATCACTCCTTTTGTTGATTGCATTGGAATTCTGAGAAATGAATGCCCTTTCTAAGAACAGTCTTTTAGTATAGTTGGACTTATAGCTAAAACTCTGGCTGATTCATAATTCATTTTATGATGTTCTTTGTTAACATGTTCTGCTAGAGCAGCTCTTTCAGGATATAATCTGCTATCACTCCGGTGACTAATTAAACGATTACTTGAAACTGCGTGAGGTTTGTTCCACATATACCAAATTACAGTTGTTACATGGAATTTGGTAGACAACGTCGGAACAATTCTTAACGTTCATATTTTTCAGGGTGCCTCATAATGTGGCTGAGGTATTCTAGCTTGCGTCTCTTTATTATATTGACCATTTGTGTTGTTTGGTTCAGGTCCATTTCTAACTAAGTCTGTCCAGCTTATTCGTAGTAGTCGTCTATACGTGTAAAACCACATCTCAAAAGCTTCCAAGCGTGTAAGCATCGCCTTAGTTAGGGTCCATGCTTTCACTCCGTCCAGTAGCACTGGAAAAAAGGTCAATGCTAAGATCGTGGCTGCAAATTATGTTCCACATTTTTGCAAAAGTGGGTCGGGCTTGTTCTATACGGCTTTTAATTTCTACGATTGGATCCGTAATCCGTGGATTACGGATTTTTGAGTTGGATCTGTAAAATGTGTTATAATTGAGTTAAAATAATTGACATAAACAAATCATTTTATACCAAAGGAATTATGTAAAGTTCTCTGTTCCCGATTATGAAGATATACGTGGGGTACAGATTTTAAATTAAACATTATTTAAGGCTTTTTTTGTATATAAAAGTTTTTAAAAGCATTTAAAAATTTTAACAGTTTTTATATACCATAAAATTGTCTGCTTATTACAATGTTAACTCTAATGGGCTATGACTTGCGTAAGGATTTAAAATATAAATAAAAATTTTTATGAGTGTTCCATTTCTAAATTCGTATAAAACTAATCCTACTCCACTATATCATTACACTGTAATGTAGATAATATATTACTATGGATAGGTGTCCATCTGTGATATTTTTACCTTGTTGCTTTTCCGAGTGTTTCATATTTAATTCAAATTATACAACAAAGATTATGTGGTTAGAAAAAATACTTGTTATATTGATGATTCCTATATGCCCGACGCAACTACACTTTCGAGTCCTTTCTGGATTTTTATTATTGTGCTGAAGCAATATTTACTATTTTTACTGGGAATTAACCACAATTTCACTTTAATTCGTTTATGTTGATGTTTCGATGTCTATTTCAGAAATTATTCTCAAAATAAAGAATAACCAAATTATTTTGTTTCATATTGACAATTTAGTATTATACATTTATCTATTATCTATTTATAATCACATCATTAATTTGTTTTATATAAATTATACAATGAACGGCTAAATTATGGAATATTATCATTATTTCGAGAACCGTCGAGTTTTGAGGGAAATCCCGAAACAGGTCGATTTTTATTATAAAATAACCATCTTAAAACGTACATGGAATAGGGATGACATCACCGGTGTAGGTGTAGTGACGTAATCGTTAATTTTTTTTTTAATAAAAATCGGTATAATGCGACACAACCAAATTATGCATAATAATTATTTTAAATTAAATGTTCAAAATGCCATCAATGTACTTGATGAATCTACGGACACATTCATCAAGTACATTGTGGATGACTTCTGGAGTAATTAGACTCATTTCATGTCTAATTCTATCTTTCAAGTCCTGTAAGTTTTGGGGTCTATTGACATAAACTTTTGATTTTATGTAACC